TTAATCACATTTATGGTCTTATTTTTTTTTTCAGTTACCTAAAATTGGCTCTTTTAGATTTTAAAGAAAGGGATCATATACAGGCGCGAAACATTCTTGAATGACCATATGTGAACTCGTATATTAAGGTAATACAAAATACCCCTGGATTCTTTTTGACTAATTTCTATAAAAATACTGGAGAAAAATAGAGTAATATTACTACATTGACAACAATGAATGACCCCTGTAAGAAATATGATAAGTTTTGGCATGATTGCGTCATATTTTATGGAAAAAAGCAGAGAATCCTATATGTTGGTCACTGTGGAGTTTGCATATTGGAATGTGTTTACGCTATCCAAGTGTAATAAACAAGATGTAACAGTCTGATATAAAATGCAGTGTATCTTTTGTTCAATAAATAATAGAGGGCTGATATTTGGAGTCACATATAAGGAGTCTCCGTTCGTTGTGCACTATAAAGGTCAAGTCATGTCAATAGGACAAAGGTCAAATATTGTGACGTCATCAACTGAATATTTTTTTTTGCCATTTATTTTTTTTTAATCCCCAAAATATCAGAAACTACCTGTTCATTTTTTTTATTTTTACACATTTAATTCTGGGACCCATTTTAATCATTCTATTAATTATTTGCAAAAATTGCATTAAACATTTTTTCTTTAGAAAACTTTAAGTGTAGGATATTAACATGTGAATTTTTAAATTCCGAGGCTATGTACGTTCTTCTTTTACATAATATTTTTCTCAAATGGTCCATTATCAATATGATTTACTAATTTAAAGTAGCAAAAAGGTTATCTATATCAAAATTATAACATAAACTTGCAAGAGATCAATTTATAATTCTAAAATAAGTCTCATTCTCAAGTAGAGTGTCTGATTTTACAATCTTTTTTGCAGGTTTCTGATAGGCCATATTTCAGACAATATGGGCAGAATATGTGCGGTTGAATTTCTTTCATTTTATATATTAAGAGAGATTTTATTTCCTAGAAAAAATATCAAAGTTTAAGAAAAATTGAATTTGAGGACACATTTGGCCTATCTACCCCTTTGGTATTGTGTCCTACTTTAAGTATTTCAAATATATGATAAATAGAATGCTTTTTTTTAAATAAATTATATGATAAAATATAAAAAATATATAATTATAAATAAATAATAAAGAATATATTTTTAAATATGAGAAATAGAATACTACGTATTTATATTCATATCATATGTTACATTAGCCTTGGGCTCCATATCAGCCCTCGGGCTGATATGGGGCCATTCGGGACGATATGACATATGATATGGATTTTAGTAAGTAATATTCTCTATTTATACCTGTATATCAGTGTGATATTCATACCAAATTCATTACAACATTTGTATTTTATAAATATCATTTAAGCGTTTCTACAATGTTCACTATGTCTCCTTACCTACTTATATCAGGTTCGATGGGATTTTCTTTTTTCTACCTCACTGTAGATACTATTTGGGGGGGGGGGGGGGCTTATGTGACAGGATTAAGTAAATAACAACTAGTATAGTAGCAAACTTTCTTATGATGTTATACTGTGCCTCATTATTTTTTTTTTTAATTTTAAGCTTTTTGATATTTTTTTTTCAAAAATAATCGATGCATTTGGATTTGATGTATTGTAAGCTCAGAAAGTTATATGGAAGTCAAAAGTTTGTGCATTTAGGTTCCATGGTTATATGTACATCATCCTAGGGCACTAATAATCACCTGATTGCTTAATCACTTCTAGCGCAAACTTTATAAACATAGGCCTATATGACAAAGAAACTTTTAAAGATTTTTTTGGCTACTCATTAACAAATTAATAAATTTGAAATGATTCATATTATTTCCAAATTATGCACATAAAGCTTATTATAGTTTTCAATATTAGTAAATCGTATTAGAGGAAAATATATGTTGTGATTCTATAATTATATGCTGTGGGTTTGTAATTATATGCTGTGGTTCTTTTATTATCTGCAGTGGGTCTATAATTATATGCTGTGGTTCTATAATTATATGCTTTGGATGTATTATTATATGCTGTGGATCTATTATTAAATGCTGTGGGTCTATAATTATATGCTGTGGGTTTATAATTATATGCTGTGCTTTCATTATTATATGTTGTGGGTTCATAATTATATGCTGTGGTTTCATTATTATATGCTGTGGGTTCATAATTATATGCTGTGGGTTCATAATTATATGCTGTGGTTCTTTTATTATATGCTGTGGTTTCATTATTATATGCTGTGGGTTTATGATTATATGCTGTGGGTGTATTGTTACACTTTCTGTCGGTGTATTAGAAACTAGCTATTCAAATCTGGACTTCTAGTTTTTTTTTTTAGTTTACTTGCTCAAAAAATGGCGGTAACTGCAACAGGCCTAACCGTAATAGGAATGAAAGAGTGGAGAGTGGAGTGCTGAATTGGAAGGCATTACCTGATTGGTTAATTAAGAAATAAATAACAAGTTTATAAACTTCAGTGGGAATTGACGTGGGTCGGTCACGTGATCAAATCCTGTGAAGGCCGAAGGCCTTCTCAGAAGATTTGATCACGTACCGACCCACTTCAATTCCCATTGAAGTTTATAAACTTGTTATTTATTACTTATATATACATTTGAGACAGACAATTGAATATTTTCGAATTTAAATTATTGCACTAACCGTCCGTCGTAGATTTCGAAAAATGACGCAAAGTGTAAATCGGCTTGCATGGCGGTTACGCTTCGAATTCATTAGGCTAAGGAATCTATTTCGAAGGGAATATTTTGTATAAGGCTACTTGTGATCAGTAATAGTGAACAGATTGTTGTCTGGGAATATTTTATTCGTGAAAAATGATAATCGATGCTGAAAAGACACAAGAAACACGCCCGAAGTTTGATGATAAAAAGTTGGAGGAATTTCGGTCGCTGGAAAGGGATGGATGGATCCAATGGATTGAGATACTTGTCCGAGCCAGTTAATTTGCAATTTGATCAAAAACATTCTACCGATTTAGTAACTAATGGCATACTTATCGTAAAACACTGATAAACACGGAGACACTGGCGACAGCTTTACATTGAACTACGAAAACGCCGAGGTGTTTGGCAGCTGTTCATGGCATGATTGCAAAGATATTTTCCAACAGATTTACACATTTATCGTGAGTAAAATTTAAAGATAAAATAAAAGTTTATCATGAAAATTTAACCAAAGGTCTATCCAAAAAATAAGGATGAACGTTAGAGACTGTGCAGCTGACAAAAGTGAAGAAAAATGTAAACAAACGCTAGGCTCCTAGTTTTCTCTATGTACACGGGTCGAATCGATAGCCCAAAAACTGTATGAAATACTTGTTTACATTTAAAATAAAATAATTATTATTTTACTTGCTTATTTTATTCATTTTTATACATGAAAAGCAAGTAGAGCAGGTCATTTTATAATTTATGTACCGGTAGATATTGCGCCGTGTGATTAGGTCACGTATTGACCTCTGACCTCTGACAAACTTCATACAGAATTGAAGATATTTTCTCTCTGTATGTTTATATAATGGAGAGGTACCACAAATGTATATATAATGAGGTACATCTATGTTATGTTTTTTTTTTTAATTTTTTTTTTAAGTAAAAATATTAATGTTTGAAATAAATGTGGGAATCTATGAATATTACAGAAATATAGAAATACCAGGGGAGATTGTAGGAGCGGGGTTGATTTTTTTTTTATGGAATGTAGGAATATGACAGAAATGTATAAATACCAGGGGAGATTGTAGGAGTGTTTTTTTTTGGGGGGGGGGGGGGGCAGAGTGTTATTTACTGCCGGTACCTAACCCTTACCTATTAATCAACTGCAATTTTGACCTATAAACGCCATGGGACCCGATATTTTTTTTGGGGGGGGGGAGGGGGGGGATTTTTTCTTTTATAAGCGCTTGGATTTAAGTTTCAAACGATGCCATACACTACAAATATTTATCATAAGAGCAATCTGATGCACATTATTAACGTACTTCCCTATTCGGACTTTATCAAATGCACCACGCTATACTAATATCTACATTCTTCTCACTACCCCCCCCCCCTTAACCAAGGACCTAACTCCCCTCAAATCTCAACACATGAAAACCAAATCTTTTTTTTATATATACATGTATATTTCCTTTTTTTTTTTTTTGATTGTCAAAATTTCTAAGTCCCCACTTTTAATTTTTCAAAAATTTCAAAACTTTAGCTTCAGTTCACTAGTTGCTTCCAATTTTGCCTTCACTTTGCAATACTCACTTGTTTAGGCCCAAATAATTGCAATCGAATGTGTAATTACTCGACCCTGACCGTTTTTGTTAAGCATGAAGTTCGATTTCCTATGTTTTTCGGGTGTATTTTTCATATTTTTTTTACATCCCTGTGTTCCCCATCTTTAACTGATAACAAAAAACAGAAAAAAAAGTTTGATTAAAATGCGGTGTATGTTCACACAACAGTGTGGGAGTGAAGTTTAAATGACCAAAGCTGGTCGTTGTTAACAAGAGTGCTGTTTCCTTTCATTGTATGACTTTATTTTACTTAAAACCTTTATAATTTCTGACCTACAAAGCATACCTGAATCACTTTTTAATCATTAGAGATCGCTAGATTTCGACGAACACAACAAAATCATTTTTTTATATAGCTTGAATTCTTTGAGGAACGGTTGTCTTGCTGTGAATCAATTTGAATTATGGATACTGCATTTTTTAACGTGGTGAATCTTTAATTCTAGGGTGCCTTAACGTTTCTGCAAATTGTGTCAAAGTGCTCCAAACAAATAAATTTAGAAAAAAATGTTTTGCTACTTTTCTATCCAGTATACTAATTAAATTATGCTGTTAAAATAATTCAATATAAGAGCAGAGTAAAGCAAAAACTTGCCTGGGGACTTAGAAATTTTGACTAGTATAAATAAACATTTAATTGCATATTTAGGGAGGTTTTATACATGTATATTGTCATTTAAAGTTTGAAAATAAATACCGCTATACATGTGCATACTCTTGAAACAATCGGACAATATCCTTTAAGTCATTTTTTTTATCATATTTTGTATGTTTTATTATAGTTTGCATTGATACATGTAACATGCACAATATTTGCTATATAAGCGAGAAATATACAGGAGCATGCAAACTTCAAAATATCACCTAAAAACAGATATTACATTTGTCGCTTCCTGAATTTGATGAGTTGGTTCATGCTGTAACGAACACTGATAGGACTCTAATGATCCCAGATAGTCCCCACAGATTTGCTGACAGATACCAAGTATCTGCCATGATATATCTCCTCTATTAGATGATACATACATCTCTTCTTCATCATAGAGTAGCAGAGTATGTAGATCCTTTAAAGATTGTTGTGACCTGACTGTGTCACCCAGTCTGTGATGATTCAGTGTAAATAACATGTGTAATATCACTAATGGTGGTATAAATAATTGTAGATTCCCATGCTTTCTACTGATCTTCTATTCTAATTTGAGTTCATCAATGTATGTGTACTCGAATTCTAAAAATATATCTTTCAATAGAGTTCTCCGTATTTTATTGCCCAGAGACATCCTTGCCACACATTGTATGTAGGCATCTATATTTTCATATATACTATATGGCAGCCACAATTTCTCCTTTGCTTTCCGTAAATATCTGAAATTCTGAGTGAATTTTCATACCTACGTGTTTTATAGAGGTACATAAATTTCCGAAACATAACCTAACTTGTAGGAAAGTCTTAGCAAATTGGGTATTTTATTAGCCTGATAATATATCTTATTGCGATTTCTATCTGAATTAATGATATCCTGTAAAAAGAGGGCAGTGTTTTGTAACACAATGGATGTCATACATTGTAATGTAACTGCCTGATACACTGTCAAGCTTAACCTTACTGCTCTCTCTGTCTGTGTCATGTAAGCTGCAAATTCCTCAATATGAAAAATGCGAAGACTTAATGGTTTTATTTCATAAAAAAAACGAAGTTCTAATTCAGACTTAGATATCATTCTACTCTCTTCTGTACAAACTCTTAATGTTCTATCTAGAATGGCTTTACTGAGGAAAGATCTCAAGGTTGAACTAAGAAGAAGACATGATACCCCTTTGCTATATAAGGCAAATAAATGACTGAATAATGAAACTTGTACAGACCCAGTCACTTTCAATCGAAACATATTACATTGTGGTATAAAAAAATTTGGGCATGTCCCAATATGTACCCAGTATATTAATAATTTGAAGCATTTCCAGAAACAAGGCAGTAAATTTTCAGGGGTCCATGTCAAAGCACTATCATTCTGAATCGCCCAAAATACAATTGTTTTGGTAAAGTATGAACATAAAACAGGTGTTTGGTTTAGAAAATTAATCACTTCCTTTAAAAATATTTTAAAGAGGCCATAGGACAAAAACTTAGTATGATTCATTGAATAAACAATTTTGTGTTCTGCTTGCGAGAATGAGATTCTCCATTCTTCTTCATTTTCAGGTGCGCTGCCAATTGGAACAACATGGAATCCTCCACTTAATATATTTGAAAGAACACTTTCGGATGGCCATCCTTTTTGACGACACCTCTGTATACATGGCAAAGCCATTGTCGGCCAGAGGTGTGCCCCAAAACAGAAAGCATTGTCTACTTCTATGTTTCCCATTATGACATACGAAGAACAAGGTCCATGTTGAAAAGCCATTGTAGTGGTTGCATCAAGATTTCGAAAGGATTGCAAATAAGTATCGCGGTAGAGTTTACTACTGATATATAGTTTGTTATTCCTTGCTACACAGGAGAATCTGATCAACGCATTTTGAGATTGGGACATCAGAATTAATCTAGTAAATCCGGGTGGAAGATCATTGCACTCCATCAGAATCACAGTTTGCTGTAGCACATGGTGATTCATCTGAGAGAGATTACAAATTACTTTGTAGTCTGCGGGCCAGAACATGCTATCGGAATCTGAAGTCTTTAGCTGAATCCCTCACGCCTACTACCACTCAGCATTTTGTCACACCCTTTCAAATTGTTTAATGGTTTCTGTACTAACTCTTTGATGTCCATCACATCCCTTCTAATCTTCAATTCTGTAGGCGTCCCTAATTCATAGGACAGTCCCACATAGACCGCTTCTGATAGTCGAGGGATGTGATGCATTCCGTTTTATAATGAAAAACTGAGAAAAAGATCTGAAAAAAATTTCCTTATGCTTTTATGTGATTTACCTCAATGATATTTTATTAAGAAAGAAGAAAATTTATTTATGTAGATATGTAAAAAGTTCTCAACGGAGAACAAAGATGAATATGAATTGAATTATTAAATGTGCTTCAAAATATATAATATACAATTATTGATGTTTTAGGTAAATACAATGATTTAGCCATCTGAGAATTACAATATTCAATGTGCCCAAATGGTGAATATTGTACTTTATAGATATCTAAATCATTGTATTGACCAAAACAGCAATAACTATTTTATTATTTGATCCACTGATAAAATGATACAGATCATTACTTGTTAATTACGTCCTAGCCAAATACAAAAGAGAAGTAGATCTAATCATTTTTAAATCTATTTTAGTTGCCACTAAAAAGATAGAATGTCAGTCTTTTCATAGAACAGATTTTGAAAGGAAGGAGTGTTATCAGGGAAAGACCAAAAAAGTAAAATCTGTTGTTCAGTAAAGTGTTGGAGGGAAGTCCCTGCATCCCCTACAACCACCCTTACCCGAAAATATATATTCTCTGATGTTTTGTTCACGTGAAAGAAGTCATAGTCGTTGGAATTACCCAATCTATTTTTAGATCAATCATTCTTTTCACCTAGAGCGTCACGTGCAATTAAATATAATGTAGTATATTTCTTCCATATAGTTGGATCTCAGTCAATCAGAAAGATGGGAATTATTTAATCATAAATTAATATATAATATGATAGATAATATCAGTGATATAATGTCTTGTGAACGTTCAAGTGCCCAATATAGTTGTCAAATTTCTCGTAGCTGTCATTTTTTTGTCATGGTGTCAGTGGACGAGGAAAGGAAATTCACATAGGATGCATCATGCATTTCTTATTTATGTGCATTTTTATTGATATTTAAAATAATGAATGAAAAAATAAGAAATCACCATGTATGCCGGGGACATAAACACTAGCTGAAAACATGAAACAGTTTATGAATCACGCGTAAATCTACGGCAGTTAAAGACAGTTAACTGTCCTTAAAGAGTAGGGTCAACCATCTTTCAGCCGAATTTTGCTGCACGATCGGTGTTAAATCAGAAACTGACATCTAGCATATAAGCTTTTTCCATATAAAGTTCTCTTTTTATGGACCATTACCCTCCAATTCCACTTATTTTGTGATAATGACCGCGGTGGTCTCCGCCAAAGTCAAATGGTGCAGAAAACCTATTCAATACCCCCGCCCACTTCAGCGCCTATTTCTGGACTCTAATAAATTTATTTCGGTATCATGGCTCTGTCCCTTACAGTGATGATTTTCCTACATGTTGATGCGATTGTCAGTCGTGAACACGCAATTAATCAACATTAAACTGATACAATTTCTTCGATTTGAGCTCAGCTCGCTGAATCGACCCAAAAGAACCGAAATAAATTAATGGTTTAGAGTCCAGAAATAGGCGCTGAAGTGGGCAGGGGTATTTTTTCTAAGATTGGAGCTTGCGTCCCTTATAGAATTTATGTAAATAGGTGTGGTACGTCTTTTTTAAACGTGGTTTTTCTTGCCTGAAAGTGTCAGGATCTTTATTTTAACAACCTTTAAGTGTATTTAAAGAAGATTCAACATTTTAAAAATTTATTTTACATCTAACAATCCGGAAGACAAGCCCCTATGGTAGAGGCAGGGATGGATTAGGGTGTTTACTTATTATTCAATTATATTCAACTTCACTTACCTTAATTACGAAGGATAAAGTTAAAGGATATTTGTATTCATGACAGTGGACAGCTCTATGTGCTATCTGCTTTGCCAGCAACCCCCGTCCCCAGAATTAAGATCTTACTGAAATTAAATGAACTGCACACGTCAACATTTCATCATGTTTTAAGATTTAATACTTTATCTTGGATAAAAGTTTCATCCGCAATTGTAAATTTCTCCGGTTTCACTTCTTTTCAAGATCGTATGTAGATGATAATGATATCCTGTTTATATATATCAAATTGATATTATCAATAAGGAAATTAATGAAAAAAATGAAATTTATCGAGCTTTAACATATATCTACATACAGGGTTTTAATCTCTCGGATGATTCGAAACGCCAGAGCATGCTCACCTGTCAGTTTTGAATACTTTTAATATTCCACAGAGCCAAAATGAATTTGAACTACCTTATATATATTGGATTCCAAAACTTCATAAGAATCCTTACAAACAAAGATACATTGCAGGTTCCAATAAATGTTCAACCAAGCCTCTTTCGTTACTTCTCACTAAAACATTGACAGTAGTAAAAGAAAAACTTCAAGAGTACTGTACAACTATATATTCAAGATGTGGTGTAAATCAGATGTGGATACTTAAAAATTCTAAAGAACTTTTGGACAATCTGAAATCACAAGACTTTACAAAAATCAACAGCATAAAAACTTACGACTTTCCAACTTTATACACAACAATTCCCCACGACAAATTAAAATCCAGGCTTTTTGATATCATTGACAGCTGCTTCTTCAACAAAAATGGAACTCGTAAGTTTACTTACCTCGTCATTGGTCATTTGAAAAATTATTTTGTTAAAACAGATTCTGATTGCACACATAAGTACTCTGAAGTTGACATCAAGAAGATGCTTGAGTTTCTGATTGACAATATCTATGTGGTTTTTGGAGACCAGGTATTCCAACAATCTATTGGAATTCCCATGGGTACAAATTGCGCTTCGTTATTAGCAGACTTATTTTTATATTCATATGAAGCAGAATTTATGCAAAATCTTTTGCGTGAAAAGAAGAAAACACTTGCTGTGGCCTTCAACTCAAAGGTATCGACGACGTATTGTCAATTAATTATGATAATTTCCATTTCTACGTCGACACGATATATCCTGGTGAGCTTGAGATAAAAGATACCACAGAGTCCGACACTTCTGCTTCATACTTGGATATTTTACTTGAAAAAGACACTAATGGTAATCTAACAACCAAGCTATATGATAAACGTGATGACTTTAACTTTTCTATCGTCAACTTCCCTTACTTATGCAGCAATATACCTTCATCACCTGCATACGGAGTATTTATATCTCAGTTGATTCGATACGCAAGAGCATGCTCTGCGTATGAACAATTTCTTAAACGAGGCAAATTATTGACAAGCAAGTTGATGAAACAAGAATATCAACAGTCTCGTTTAAAGTCATCATTTCGTAAATTCTATGGTCGATACAATGACCTTGTCAGCAAATACAATTTATCATTGAATGAAATGCTGACTGACGTTTTTCATACCAATTGTTAGTCCATTATTTATACACTGAATTGACCACGGATTTTTTCCGTTATTTCCTGATTATGACAACGAGCACACGGCGGGTGTGACCGGTCGGCAGGGGATGCTCACTCCTCCATGGCACCTGATCCCACCTCTGATGTTTCGGAGGTCCGTGTTTGCTCTGCTCTTATTTTGTATATTTGTTTAATGGACGTTGAGATTGAATACTGTTCGTTATTTCCATATCCTTATGTTAAAAATGGTTTATAGATCACGAAAAAATAGGGAATCCCCAATAAATGTAAGTTTTGTGTCGTTGTTTTTAACTTAAAAGTTTGCAAGTTTTTGAGCATCTGAAAACAATCACTACAAAATTTCTTGAAAAAAACATTGATTTATAAAGAACTTTTTTATACGTTGATTTATTTACAGGTATAAGTTTCAAATATAATAATATATGTATGTTCTATGCGTTTTACAGAAATCATACCTATTTAATAATATTTAGTTACATGTGTAGGGAGGTTTATACATGTAGATCGTAATTTAAAGTATATAAATGCATAAATACGCAATACATATTTTGGAAACGGTCTTATCGTAACAATATCCTCTAATGCAATTATATTTTTAGGCAAAATTATATTTTCTTTCAAATTAATGCGTGATTTAAAAAGTGCGAATCTGTGTTTTCTTTTCTTACAAATGCTCGAAAAAATTTTAGACTTTGCGTGAAGTTTGCGCCACGGTAAAATTTCAAATGATGGAGAATCCTGATACATGTAGAATATTGGTTATTTAAGCGAGAAATAGACAGGAGTATGCAAACATCAAAATGTAATCACCTGAAAAAAGGATATACTGTAATCACTTTTTACTCGCGAGAACTTTATTTTCGCGTAATTACGCGAGACAGTGTGCTCGCGAAAATTAAGTTCTCGCGTATAATACTGTGGAATCATCATTGTTCGTGGGGGACCATTGTTCGTGGCTTTCGTTGGTACCCCTGACCCATGAATTTACATCCCCACGAACATCCCCACGAACGTATATACAAACATATGTTTTTATTATGATAAAACTGATAACGTAAAAAAACCGTTACCCTTGTGTCCGTGTGATCGCGCACAAAGAAGACAATCTGTATGTCGTTATTGAAACAAAACCAAAATAAAAAACAACAAAAAAAGTATTAATATCAAAGACATCGTTAACTATATACAATAAGTAATAAAATGATAAATACAAATGTTAAATTTAACTAGTGTTTACATTATAAACCAACACGCTCAAATGCCCCTTTGATGAGGTCAATTTTCAGTGCGATTTTGGAGTGGGTGTTAATAAGCCAATTAGCATGAATTGGTTTAGAGATTTAAAAAGATGTCCCGTGTACCAGTAATGTTCTTAATTATCATAATTTACCGTGACATCACGGCTGTACTTTGTCGGTGCAAGCCGCCGATACGTTTTTGTAACTTAAATAACCAACATTGACGGAGTTACCTTTCTTTGTTTTAATTATGGAGAAAAAGAACGAAATAGAACTTGTTACCAACGAAATTAAGTCCCCACGAACCAGGAAACTTTTGGCTACCCACGAACATTGACCCCTACGAATAGAAATGATTCCACAGTAGTATTCCTTAAGATCATATAGAGCAATTACCACGATTCGTGAACATTTTGTCTCGCTTATCAAGAATCAATGACTATCTCGCGAAAATAAGGTGTCGCGAAAATTTAGTTATATACAGTTTAAGATAAAAATTGAAGGGACATTACATAAGAACAAGCTTGATCATGCATTGCAGGATTATGCATTCTTAATCGTGTCGCTTCCTGAATTTGATGAGTTGGTTCATGCTGTAACGAACACTGGTAGGACTCTAAAGATTCCAGAGAGTCCCCATATATTTGTAGTCTCCATATATTTATTGACAGATTTCTTGTATTTGCCATGAAATATCTCTTTTATCAGATGATACATGCATCTCTTCTTCATCATAGAGTAGCGGTAACGACAATTTCTCCTTTGCCTTCCGTTAATGTCTGAGTGAATTTTCATACATGTACCTACAAGTTTTATAGAGGTGCATAGCTAGATACAGAATGTTTTCGTAACATCCTAATTTGTAGGAAAGTCTTAGCAAATTGGGTATTATATTAGCCTTATAATACCTTATTGCACTTTAGATCTGAATTAATGATATCCTGTTAAAGGAAGGCAGTATTTCGTAACACAATGGATATCAAACATTGTAAAGTATATGCCTTATACGTCGTCAATCTTCCCCTTACTATTCTCTCTGTCTGTTTCATGGAAGCTGCAAATTTTTCACGATGAAAAATGCGAAGACTTAGTGGGTTTATTTCATCATAAGAACCAAGTTCTAATTTTAGACTTCGATATAATTTTGCTTTTATCTGTTCAAATTCTTTTTATTTAGAATGGCTTTACTGAGGAAAAATCTCAAGGTAGGATTAAGTAGATACGAGGGGTGATCAAAAAGTTCGCGAATTATCTCTATATTTACAAAACCACAAGTCAGATCAGAATGAAATTTGACACACATTAAGTCATGCACATTTTCTTTAAATAACATATGCAATGGAAAGTTTTTCACCGTGTTTGTGACATCACAATGTGAAAATGACTTCATAAGGTAGATCACTTGTGACAAAAAATGGTTGACTCAGTCGTATTCAATAAACGAACGGCTCTAAAGTTAAACGTATGTCTTGTAAATTCCTTTCCAGAAGTTGATAATAATTTGTACACGGTTTATAAAGGCAGAAGACTATCATAAGTTCTCATTGATTGGGTTGATTGTTTAAGTGAAGGAAGCGAGATGTCTTAAAATGATATTTGTTTGTTGCCCAGTGAAAGCAAACTGGGAAGAGACGTGTCCTTTGTTTAGTAATATGATATGAAAGATCGCCAACTCAGCTATGTTAAGGAAGGTCTGAGTTCACATTCCTTGCACACTGACGTCATTGAAATTTTACAAGCCACAAAAATTAATTAACGACATGATCCTGCGTAAATAACAACTTGAATTTCTTTATTTTATCAATTATTTGTAAAATCTTGTAAAATTACAATACTTGATCGCAATACAGTCGAGTAATAGAAAAAAGCCTTTCGTCAAATATGACGTCATCAGCCTTGACATGACGCAGCACAGGTGATCCAGAGGCCTATATTCACTGGTTAAATAATTACAAGAATGCTTTTATAAACATGATACCATTGCTAATTTTTAGACCTAATCATTAAAACTAAAAGAAAATAATTAATGAAATACAATTTGTATAGAATGTGAATTTATCTAGTAGCATTGGAGCTGCCCAGGGGCAAGGAATGCAGAGAATATCGCTAAAACGATAAGAGTATTCGTGATTTACATCAAAAGTGCAAGGGCATAGACTATTTTGTTTGGGCTGAAATTTGGAATATTTATTGCTTATATAGTGTTTATTTTGAAAAGTGCTTGGAGCTGATCCTGATCTGCATAACATTATTTTTATTTATAAAAGAACTAAAAGCGAAGTGGAAATTTTTAGCTATTATAAGCATTTACGGCAAAATTTTCAGTACTTCGTAAAGAGCACAGACTAGCTCCCAGCACTTTTTGG